TCACTTAGCCAATCCTGTGTCTTATTTTCAAAGTATTCCATGAAATAGCCTCCTTACTGAAGATGGAATTCAGGATGATTCTATTTGATGGAGCAATGGTACATATCCTTTTGAAATGGATAGTCAAAAAGTTTTGCCTCCTGTCAGCTTTTTTTCTTTTTCTCTTTTTCCTTTATTTTTTTAATGCTATACCAGATATGGATTTTAGTTTACAACTAGAGATTCAGCTGGTAAGACTTGACCATGGTAGGTGGGTAGGCAGTTTGAGGACCACTGAGCATTGCGAATATACCTGTGACTGCAGATGACTTGGTGCCTTCCTCTGCAATCTCCATCTTGGCCTTGTAGATTGCTTCAGAAACATAAAACCCATCTTGGCCTAATCGCCAAACGAGAGAAATGTGAATTGGTTATTTACATTTTCTATGCTTTTAGTGTAAGGATTTGTATGTTCTTGAAGAATATACATGTTAGTGTCCAGTGTTGCATACAGTGTAACTAGGGAGTGATTGGAAGATTCTCAAGTTCCAATATTTTTCTGGAACTTTCAAAACCTCTTTTCATAATAGACAAAAATTAGCAGACAACTCATTTTTAATTTTTAAAATGAGTATTAAAATCTTTAGCTAATATTTCTAAAACTTAGGTAAGTCATCAAGTTCCCCTGGATGTATGTAGGTTCTGTAGCCTAGGAATAAACTCAACAAGCTTTCGAGATGGTTTCCCTTGACTGCTTCATGGACTGTAGTTTAAATGAGCCAAATAAAGGAGGTGTGGGCAGGGGAAGTGAAGACACTCAGGTGATAAAGTCTTAGGTTTGTGTTACGGGCTTTACAAGGCATATTTCAGCATCTTAAAAACAGGTCCATTGCCCCATGACTATATTCTGTCTGCCCTGTTGTGCTAGTTGGGTAATTAGCTTACCACATGTGCTGGAATCTGCAAAGAAAGGTTTATACTTAGATGTGCTAACAGTTTCAAGGACAAGCTTAACGCTTAGGCAGGATTGGTAGATTTTTGTAATTGAGCCATTAGCCATTTTTGAACAGTTCTCCAACAACGAAATGGCACATATGGTAGTAAAAGATGAAGGCCATAGTGTGCAGAACAAGAAGAGGCTTCAGAAATGCTGTAGTCCATCTATTTTAGAGGGGCTGATAAATCACCTGAGGTCACACACTTCATTAGGATTCATATTATACAGGTTTTCAGACCCAAAGTCTTTCCACCCTCACCCCCAACTTAAGCTACCGCTTTTCAGAAATTGTCTTATAATCAGCTGTGACATACCATACCAGGGAGACCCAAAGTCTCGAGTATTAAAAGTCATGTTGATGTACTTCAGGGAGTTCAACTGCTTTGCATTAGATGTGCACATGCAAGGAGATGGCCCCTCAATGTCATGTGAGAATAAAACCAGTGTAGGATATAGATTCTGCAGTATTCCATTCATCTTGTAGTTAAGATGGAATAGGATATCATGAGTTGGCTGTACTCACTGTGAGGAACATTTATTTTTTAGCATTAGGAAAGGACCAGCAAGAGCAAGAAGGTAGAAATCAATGGAAAAATTCCCTTGGCACCATTGGAGAATCTGATTGGTTTAGCAGTTGTTTTTTTTCTGCCCTATCTTTGAGAGAAAAAAAGATTATTTCTTAATAATTAGCTCCCCCCCCCCGCTAGCTCATGGAGCAAACAGTGCCAAAATTAGGAATTCTATAAAGAATTTCTTTGACAATTGATTTTACCATCTGTCTCGTGACTTCATTACTATTACACCATCTGAACATTTTCATATAAATGTTGATGAAATTTGTTGAAGGGAGCTACATTGTGGAAACCCTTGTCATCTAAAATACAGTAAGTGCATGTCTTAGTCTAGACCACCTCGGTTCAGTGGAAGAAATGGGACAGATTAATATGAATGAGTCTTCAATAAGATAAGCTGGGCTGTTTCAGTGTTTTGAGAAAGCAACATACGTAGTTTTGTTTTTGTTCTTTTTCCATCAGATTTCAGGAGTGATCCAATACTTGTTTATGTTTGCACAGGCATAAGCTGAGACCCATAGCCTTATGTCCCCAGCATCATCGTCTCTGAAGTTTGGTAAGAGTTGACATTTCTAAAGACCAACCTGTGAGTTTTTCCTTCTATCTTGCAGTACAGACTGCTCAGCTTTATTAACTATTGAAGTGTTATGCAGCTACTAAAATAGAAAAGTTCAGAGGTAAAGGGGGTCCTTCTGACCTTTTTCTCCATGCCATGAATTACTGGCATCTATTTAGTGCTATTGAAAGATCACACATCTGTTTTCCCAGAATTTGTTCTCAAGATCATTTATAGGCACTTTTTGGAAGAACCGTTTCTGTGATAACTTTGATGTAGGAGATACAGGCGAATCGGTTTTACATTTTTGTTTGGAGTAGAGAACTTTCTTGGAGCTGTTGATTGACTGATGCTCATCATGAGTGGCTGCAGCAGGACTGCAAAACATTTCAACCATGAAGCCACCCATACCTGGTACCCCAGGTACTGGGTTAGCACTCTGGAGAGCATTCTACACTCACCATAAACCCAGCTGCTTCTATGTTACATTTCCATATGTAGTACATGGGTGGGATTCTTCCCCTTCCCTCCTATATGCTCCACTCTTCCTGACCACCTACTTGGCTTATCGCCTCCTTTCAAGTGTTAGCTCCAGTAGCAGTTATGACATACTCATTTAAAACATTTTGCCCAACTTGCATAATAATGCTTGGTACACAAATCTGTTAGGTAAATGTGTAAAGGAAATGGTATTTGTACAACCATAAGGACACTGCACCATTTGGAAGGGTTCAGTTCTCCATCCCCTTTGTTGAGGAATGTCATTCTTTACTGTACTGTTTATACTGTGGAAAAGTTTAAGAATTCATCACATGCCATTTGTAGAAACAAGATTGGCAGTATAAATCTGCATCTCTGTGTCTGATCCTCAGCTTCTTGTCAAGCTGGACAGATACGTCATTTGCTCTTTTGTCTTTCTAATGACGATTATTTACTTTTAGCAGAGCTAGTGACTTTTAGAAAGTTTTTGCTTCTAGCTTATTTTCTTGTTGCTTAGTTAATGAAGGATGGGTGTGTGATGTCCAGTTGTACCCAGCCTACAATACAGAAATCGTAGATGGTTCAGAACCTACCTGTGGTTGGTTTCTTTTTCCATCATTCTCTCTAGCCCTCTCCTTAACTCTTCTCTGTGCAGTGCTGACTGAATGGACCCTAGCGTGGCCTGGGTTAACTCAGGCATAAGCTTGAACTTTGTGTTGCCCAAAAATTAGAAGCTGATTATTCATAAAAGCAAAGAATGGAATAGTGTCTTCAGAGGTTTGAATTTGTACACAGGTATATATCCTGAACTGGGGAGCATGAGTTTATGTTGAAGCCTGCTGACCCATAGGAAAGGGGGACAGTCCAGAAGAGAGTCTCTCCCTGTTCTCTACACCAGGAAAGGAAGGATGACACAAAAACATTGTAACACCAAGTGCCAAGGATGCCTGAGACAAGTTATTCCCTAGGCTCATATGAGCTTTGAAATACTGAGTTTTTCAAACAAGCCAAAAAAAAAAAAAAGATTTGATACCAAAAAAAGGAAGAAACAAATACTTTTTATTTAGTTGGGGGGGGCAGACTATAAGTGATTCTGGGCTTTAGAACTGAATGGAAAAAAGCTAAAAGTTACTTAGCATTGTTGGGCTCTCTTCAGTAGTGCACAACTACTTGGTAATCCCTTATTAATTGAAGGGAGGATGCCCACTGTTTTCTGATCATTTCCTCTCTGGTAAAAACTGCAGATGGGGCTGACTGGATAACTCGGTGGATTAAACGCGCTTGCCACACAAACCTGGAACCCATGTAAAGGTGGAAGGAGAGAACTGACTCCACAGAGTTATCCTTTGACTTCCACATGCATGCCCTGGCAAGTGCAATCTCCTTGTCCCCTCCCCTCCAATCATGCGCACACAATAATAATAAATCTTTTTTTTTTTTAAACCACAGATGTTGTGCTGTATGTTACATCATTTCATTTCTGCAGTTGAAGAGTGACATGGGTGATGGCTACCAATTTTAGGAATGCTGTAACTTTCTTGGAGAGATTTAATGGCCCTGTCTCTAGAATAAAGTCCAAAGCCCACTTGGGTACTGATATGACTGGTCTGTGAGGTTTTTTTTTTTAATTTAAAAAATTTTTATTTTATGTGTTGAGTATTTTGCCTGCATGTATGTAAGTATACCTGTGTCATGCAGTGCCCACAGAAGCCAAAAGAGGACTTTGGGTCCTCTGCAGGAGCAGCCAGTGCTCTTAACCACTGAGCCATCTCTCCAGCCCCATGAGTTATATTTAAAGAAGGGCATTGGAAAGCATTACTTTAGTTGGTAAGTTTTATCTATGAAAGGCCTGACTCAGCTCCACCGTTGGAGCAAGAAAATAGCCTTAGTTTGTAATGAAGTAGCTGTTTCATTACCTTATAAAAGCAGATGGTGGGTCATCATTTGCTGATTTCTATTCTATTGGAACAAAACCATGGGAAAAGATAGTAAGCCTTGTGTTAAGACTTGGATAATTGTTAAATTAGCCAGATCCATGAGCCTATAATTATGTTTATTTGAACAAATGTAAGTGAACTGCATTAGAATAAAAGAGGTGAGATATGACCTCTTTTAGTCATCCAAATTAGAAACTTTAGGGAAGTTTACCAAATCGTACTCATAAAACTTGGTGAAGCCCTGCAGAGATGGCTCAGCTAGTAAAGTGCTTGCTGTGCAAGCATGAAGACCCAGGTTTGATCCTCATGGAAAACAAAACCCGGCATCGTGGTGGATGCTTGCAGTTCCAGCATTGCAGGTGGGGAAGGGCAGTAAGTGGGAAAGACAAGTCAATTCCGGAGCTTGCTGCCCAGTGGTGTAGGTGTAGCCTAATCAGTGAGCTCCAGGTCCCAGTGAGAGACTGTCTTTTAAAAACTGGGTGGCTCATGTTATGGGTGGATTGTTTGTTTTTTAACCAATAATAGCACTAAAAGATACAAATTAAGACCAGTCCTGTAAGGGCACAGGATTTATTATATTTTAGTATGTCCTAGGACTTCAAGAGAGAAAAGTTTGAGTTATGAAGGAACAAGCAGGAAGCCATATTGATTAACTGAACATAGTGATGTGGAAGAGATCAAGAATGGCCCCTAAGGGTTTTTTTTGTTTTGGACTCTTCCTTCTGGTACTGGGGATTGAACCCAGTTCCCTAAAGTTTCTAATTTGGATCACTAAAAGAATATTAATAGTTTCCATTAGCCACAGAGAGCCCACAGCTGAGCTTGGGAAGACAGCACAGCTCCTGAAGACAATGCTCTTGCATCTCTTTCTCCTTTCCCTCTGATCTCATTGCTGTTGTATTCTTCCTTTCCCTGCAGTATCAAATCATGCCTGAGTCACTAAGGAAATTTTCTGGTTGAATCTTTCGACTAAACCAGCAATATTGACTACATGTCTGACTTAATTGCAAATCAACCATTGTGGGCACTGTGAACAAAGGACTGTTGCCTTGCTTATCTCTACACATTTGACAATGAATAAAAAGATGGTGGGGTTTGTTCTTTTGTTTTTGGTAGTGTTGGGATGGAACTCCTCATGCATACTAGGCAATCACACCACTATGGAATCCCAGCTTCAAGATGGCAGATTTTTAGTACTCTAATATTAGACATGTCCGTCCATGTCTTATTTGATAAGTAACTTGCTGTTCTGTCTGGTGGTATAGACACTTAAGCCAGGGCTTGTCTTGAAGACCAAACTCCTGTGATTTTCTATGATTGTTAAGGTAGATTCCGAAGAAGGTTTTAGGAGACTTCTCTGTTCTGATGGTCTGATGTTTAAGTGGTAACTTTCAAGTAAAGGCACTGTTAAGACCAATGAGAATGCCTGCTGCGATGTCCTCTCCATACGGGTAATTTACTCTGCAGACTAGAAGCAAACTAGAGCCTTTAGTTGGACACAGTTCAGCCAGTGGTCCCCACAAGGATTCCATAAAGTAGATTCTGACATTCCCTTCTTATTTGTGATGTTAGCTCAGATCACAGGCAAACATGGTCCGTGTTGACAGTAGAATGTCAACTATGGGAAAGAAATTGAGCATGGATGCTTGGAAGAAGGGCTTCTTAGGGCAGGGCTATGAGAGTACCGGCAATTTGAGGAATGGAGATTGGAAAGATGGAGGAAAGATTTGTGCTTAGCTCAGTAGAAGGGATAGGAGGAGTTAGAGGGGATGAAAGAGGAGGTAGGGTGCCCATGATGCTAGTGTGACATCAGAGGGCAGAATGAAGGTACTAGTACCTGCCTCAGACTCCAGGAGAGCCTGGTCATGCAAGTAGAGCAAGGGGAACCAATGGCTACTTGTTCTACTGTGAAGGTGGGCTCCAAAAACCATGCCTAAAGGTCTCAACACTCCCTCCACCAAATCTAACCAAAACTTGACTGTTTCAGAAACACTGCATTCTTACATAAAGCATATAGTGTTTATCATAAAATTTCTATGGAAACAGTGAAGATCAGTCTAATAAAATCTGTCCCAACACAATGCCAAAAAGATTGGAAGAATTGTTATGTAAAATTCCTTTCAAGTTAGCTTTCAGTGGATCAAAAAGATCAGTGACTCCCCAAGAACTTAGAATGCTTTTTAAGTTGAACTCGTTTTGGATCCCAAATCTACAAAACAAAAGTAAACCACCAATTATTTAGAATTTCTACTTGACACTCTCTTTACACACACCCATGAAGTACAAAGTTCTAATGATGGCAGAGCTCACTAGATTCCCTCTCACAATATCTTCCTTTGCTCCTTCTTGAATCCTATCCTAGACTAACCTGGCCCCTTTTGGGACCTTTTCTACTGCTGTACCTTCGTGCTGCTCTTTCTGCGACTCTCCAGTTTGCCTGGTTGCCTTTAGTAATTGTTCCTCAGCTATTAGCCCCTCTTCCTCAGCTGTTTCGTGACTTTTTTTTATACTAGACATGGAATCCAGGAACTCCTACATGTTAGGCAACTCTTCTACTACTGAGCTACACCCTGGCCTAGTGACTCCTGGTTCATAAGCTTGATTAACATTTATTGTATTCTTAGAATGTACAGACATTCTGCTTCCTATGAACACTGTACCATAAATGAATTGAGAAGAGAAGCCATCTCAGCTCATTTTTATTTCGTAGTAATAATATTTAATAAGTGCTGACATTGTGCCGGACATTATAACAGCTTTATATGAATTATTTCATCTTAATATAACTTATTATTATTCATTATGCTATAGATGGAAAATCAGAAGCTTAAAGCATTTAAGAAACTGCCCAAGATGAACTAATGAGAATGTGGTGCACCTCAATTCCAGTTTGGGCAGTGTGAGTGTGGAACCGAGCCTTGATCATCTGCGCTCTGCTCCTGTCTGGGTAGCATCTCACACACAATAGGTGCAAAAAAGAAACTTGGCTATTTGGCAGTAATTTGTTATCCTAGGTAACACATTCTCACGTTTGCTATGTGCAGCGTGTGCTTTGACACACAGCAGAGAAGGCACAAGCCCTGATTTGCCGAGTAAGCCGTCGAAAGCAGAAAGCATCGGCGTACCAGCTTCATGATGTTTTCCCCAGGGTAAAGCATTTTAAATTTGCTGTTGAAGGAACCTTCAAATCGATGCTGCTGTCATTTTTCTTTGAAAATAAGAAAAAGTTTGAAATACAGTTTAGATGACCTTTTCTGCAGTCATGCATAATCCTGAAAAAACAAAAACTCTGGACAAGACCATTTAATATCAAAGGACATCGTTGCTATATGAGACAGTGTCACCAATATTTTAAACAAGTGTCAGACTTGCTAATGAAAGCATGTTTTGGATTTTCAGAATAGTTTCCAAAAACATGTTTTCCACAACTTTGCTGACATTTTTCAAACAAATGTTTGGACCACTTCTGAAATTTTCTTATGCATGGAAAATGGCCTTTAAAAATTTTGTAAATGCTGAACATAATGATTATTACTACAAACCTGGGAATTCAGTGCTTAGGTTTGGGTCCTGACTCAAACTCTTACTAGCTCAGGAACTACCTACTTTACCTGTGTGGCAACTACTTACTTTACCAGTTAGGAATCAACAGGGCTGGGGGTGTAGTTCAGTGATAACTAACTATATAGCTTACCTAGCATGGTTGAAGCCTTTTGTTTGGTCCTTACCACTAAAAACAAAACAAGACAAAAAACCAACCCCTAAACAAAAAGTCCTCAAAGCATCAAATACTCAGCCAACTTGCAACTTGAGATAACTCGTTCACTTCAGTAAAGAATGTCTGCAAAGCCTTCATATGAAGTGCCCTTCTTTCAAGCTTTCCTCTAAGATCAAAAACAAGACAAGGATGTCCATGCTTAACAATTCTCTTTGTCCTTGTACAGGAGGGTGGGCAAGAGTATCACACAAGACAGACAAAGGCATCCAGATTAGAGAAGTGAAGAAGTGGAGGCTGGGGACACAACATTTCCCTAGTGTGAAAGAGGCCTGAGTTCAATTCCCAGAACCATGCAAAACAAGAGTCCCAGCCAGGCGAAGTGGCTCATGCCTTTAATCCCAGCACTCGGGAGGCAGAGGCAGGCGGATCTCTGTGAGTTCAAGGCCAGCCTGGTCTACATAGTGAGTTCCAGGAGAGCTGGGGCTACAGGGAGACCATGTCTCAAAAAAGACCAAAAAAAATTAATAATAAAAATTTTAAAAAGAGAACAGAGAGGCGCACTGGTTAACTGAGTAGTACCACCTTCCTCTCAGAGGGCTGTCTTTCAAACTGTCAGATCTAAAATAAAATGCAATCTTAAAAAAAAGAAGTGAATCTATCTCTATTCCTAGATGACTTAGTTTTGTGTATAGAAAATACTTGAGTCCTCAAAAATCCCATTAGAGCTATAAATGAGATTGTCGAAGTTTTAAGATACAATATCAAGATATAAAAATCAGTGGCATATTGGGTATGCCTTTGATCCCAGCACTTGGGATGAAGAGGCCGGAGGATCTCTGAGTTTGAGGCCAGTTTGGTCTATATAGTGAGTTCCAGGCTAGCTAAGGCTACGTAGTGAGATCTTGTCTCAATAACTAAATAAACAAGAAAATAAATAGTATTTCTGATAGGTAAAGTAGGCGATGGATGAATCCGGTTGATGGGGAGAAAGCACCAGGACACAGATAAAGCTCCAGTGAAATAGAGTTTTACCAAAGGAACACATGGGACACATTCCCTTCTGGGCAGGAAAAATGTCTGCCCCGGGTCGTTAGCTGGGGTCTTTTATAGGGGGCGGGGAGCTTCTGGGGGTGCAGAAGGCGGGAAGATATGTTTTTTTAAAGTTGAGGGGGCGGGACTGTTAAAACCTGCCCCCTTTAAAGATCAAAGGGGAAGCCTGCTGTGTTGGCCAAACAGTGGAGAAAAGTCAGCTTCTCTTGACTTTAAAGACCAGGGTGCTTATCAACTCGGTTCCCTTTTCTGAGGTCCCTGAGGCCCTGTTGGTGAGGGGGCGGGGCTATCTGAACCTTAACAATTTCTATGTTGACAATAAATCATGTGAAAATGAAATCGAGAAAACAGTTCCATTGATAATAGCACCAAAGGAGCAAAATACTTAAAAGTAAGTTTAGTAACAGAAAGATGTATACACTGAGAACAAAACAGTTGAAATAAATGTCTTTTGTATGTTTCTTGATGTGCTGTGTTGGAGGTGGTGAAAGTGCACTCACTTGTTGCAGGTCACCCGTTATAATGGACCATCAAGAACCCAGTCCAGCTAATGGACCAGTGGGCGTGCAGGAAGTCTTTGGACAGGCCTCCCAGAGCCTCAGGGAGATTCCTCAGAGGGGTGAGAGGAAGGTGAGTGGAGGCTCCCAAACTTCCACCTCCAATTAAAGACAGTCATATGATGTTTGGCAATTCGTTCCAATGTGATGATCTGCATCCACCCTTTGGAGAGTCAGGGCAATTTGATCACAATAAGGAACTGAGAAAACTCAATGTATCTATTCAAAGTAATTTCTTGACCTTTTAGATATTGTAATAAGGAGTCCTGGAAGTATAAAATGGGAAGAGAAGCTGGAGGATCTTAAGCTGCTTTTTGTACACTCATCATCTTCGAAACAAATGTGGACCCCACCAGCAAGAGAGACTGAATCATGATAAAGGTCCAGAGGCAGCCAAGAGGTTTCAGAAACTCCTGGAAGGAGTACTTGAAATGACTCAAAACTGCTTGGCTTCTTTGCCTGATGAGGAGCCCCATGCAGAAGCAGGGATGAGAGAGAATCAGAGCGATACATGCTGATGACAGCAGCAATTGTATTGGACAGAATGAACCAAGAGAAAATTCAGGCCACATGACGTACCAGAGTGTGGAGAACGATGCTGCCTTCTGTGTCCTTGAATGAAAGACCGTGAACAATATTTTCTTCTTCCTTTAGCAAATAGTATATTATATTTGTTTTAAAAAGAGGTATAACTAAAATATAAAGGGATATTTTTCTTGACTTTTCTTGATTGTGAGATGCCATAGGTAATAATTTAACAGGGAAAGCATAAGCAGGTAAGTATATTTGAGAAATCATCATAAAAAGCAAAATGTTTGCTGTTGTGTGGGATATTCCTTTTAGAGTTGCAATAAAATTTTGAAGCAATAGCAAAATGTCATTCTTAGCAAGAGTATCATTTACTCTAAGAATAATAAAGGACATGAAGCTGTTTATGTGAAAAATTTTTTAAAAAAAGAAAAGAAAGTCACAGGGGCTGGAGAGATGGCTCAGCTGTTAAGGGCATTAGCTGCGCTTGTAGAGGATGTGGTTTCAGTTCCCAGCACCCACATAGTGGCTAACAATCATCTGGAATCCCAGTTCCAGGGGATCCTTCTGTTCTTCCTGGGTATTTCATGACACAGATGCACTTACATACATGCAGGCAAGACACTCACACACATAAATAATTAAAAATTATATAGCGAGAAGACAGGAGGTGGGCAGGGGAGATGTGGGGGGATGCAAGTGGACCCGAGAGAATATGCGGTTGAATCTAATGAAAATACATTGTATGGAATTCTCAAAGAATATTATTTTAAAAAGGAAACAGTGATAGAAATGAAAGGCATCCCGAGTCCATGGCTTGAGACATTCACATTGTTAGAAAGCAACACTCCCCACCCCCCAACCAGCTATCTACAGATTCAAGCATGTCTGTTTCTAAATCTGATCTTGTTTTGGGAGAAATCAATAACCTATTCTTAAAAATTCATAAGTAAGATAATCTTGAGGGAAAAAAAGAGCAAAGTTGGATTCACTTTCTGAGTTGTAGACTGACTATAGTGCTCCAGTAACCACAACTACATGGTACTGTAAAAAGACAAGAATTTATGCCTATAGAATAAAATCTAGAGTCCAGAAATTCATACATTTGGCAATTTATTTTGACAATGATGCCAAGAAAATATAGTGGTGGAAAGAATGATCCTTTCAAAAATAGTGTTGGGACTATGGGCAGATCACCACAAGCAGACATATGCAGTCCCAGCCACCTCAGACCTTTTAGCGGTGTGGGCTTCAACTGTGAGGGCCACTTAACATGTGGATTTTAATGTTTAGAAAATTTGCAACAGTTTGAAAAACTCACAGTTGAAACATGTAGCCTAAAAATAATGCTCAAGA